AAGCCATTGAAGATAGAAAATAATAACAAAATTTATCCCACTTGCCCAAAATGTAGTTTGGTACCTGCAGCTCCAGAACACATTTTGGCTTGCATTAGATGCACTAAACAGGACCTTTGGGAGAGGCCGCTGCTCATCATAAAACAGCTCGAGGAGCATGAACTCATGGAATTTGTGTAATCTTTACACAAGGGGATAAGAAACAACAACAACAACATATTTTCCATGAAAAAATCAATATGAAAGAGCTAGATTATGCATTAGAAAACACTGACCTGAACAAGACTCCTGGGCCAGATGGAATCCATGGCCAAATGATATCAAACTTGGGCAAAAATGGCAAAGAAAAACTTCTTGATATTTTCAATAACTCCTGGAAAACTGGAAAATTGCCTCAAGACTGGAAAACTGCAACAATAATTCCTATTAAAAAACTTGACAAATCTGCTGATGACCCAAAAAACTACCGACCTATCTCCCTCACAAGTATTTGCTGCAAATTAATGGAAAAAATTATACTCAGACGACTTACCTACCACCTTGACACAAGAAATCTCTTACCAGAAGAACAATATGGATTCAGGAAAGGACATGGGACAATAGACCAACTCTTATTTTTCACACAAAAGGTAAAAGATGCACAAAACAGAAAACCAACTAACCACACAATAGCTGCTTTTTTAGACCTTACACAAGCTTTTGATAAGGTATGGAAAAACAAGTTAATTACAAAATTATACAAACATTTCAAAATTGATGGAAAAGCTATCACTTGGATAAATGATTTCCTTAAAAATAGATACATCAGGGTCAAATATAATGGCACTCTATCTAAAACCTTCAAATTGTACCAAGGATTACCACAAGGATCAGTCCTTAGCCCAACTCTCTTCACCCTATTTATTGCAGGCATAGAAGAAAAAATTTCACATAAAACCAATATTGGACTTTTCGCTGATGACATTATTCTATGGAGCAGCAATACTAACTGGAAAAAAGCTGAAAGAGATTTGAACAAGACTCTTTTCCACCTAGAAAAATTTGCTAATAAACATAAATTAGAATTTAACCCCCAAAAATCTGAAACCTGTCTTTTTACTACCGATAAGAAACTATACAAAATAAGACCAAAAATTATTCTGAAAGAACAACAATTGCAATATAATAAACATCCTAAATATCTTGGCTACACCCTGGATCCAGAAATTAACTCCAGTAAACATATTGAAGAAGTTATTAGAAAAGGAAGAGACCGACTAAAAATCCTGAAATATATTTCAGGAAGAGAGTGGGGAGCCGATGCAACCACACTAAAATTAACTTACACATCTCTAATTAGACCTATCCTGGAATATGGATATCAAATCTATGGTACAGCATCTGAAACAAATCTAAAATCACTGGAAAGGATACAACTAAGTGCAGCTAGAATTATTACAGGTCTTCGAAATACCTGCCCTAATGATATTGTACTTTATGAGGCAGACATTATGCCCTTAAAGGATAGAAGAAGCTACAATCTGCCAAAATATATAAACAAAATCAAGAGTTATGGAAACAAACACAGAACTTCCAAGTACATACTTAATTGGGAATCCAATTTAAGACTCAAAAAAGAAGGCCCTCTACACCTGGCCAAAAGAAATGAATTTTTAAAATATAGAGTGGAAAAAAATTATTTAGCAGAAAAAATTTCTCCATGCAAACCACTACAAAATGTTATTTTTAATGCCACTTTAAATGAACCCACCAACAAAGAATACCAAAATCCAGAATACTTAAAACAATTATCATTAGAAATAATTAATAACATTCCTAAAAATGCAATAACTATCTATACCGATGGTAGCAGAGACGAGCTAGGACACACTGGCAGTGGCTGTCTCATCAAAACCACAAATGGCATTGAGAAAATGAACAGAAGAAACCCAGATTTTTGCTCAGTCTTCAGATCAGAACTTATAGCCATCTATGAAGCCTTAAAATCCATCAGAAATACTAATTATCAAGATATCTGGATTCTTACTGATAGTAGAAGTGCCATACAACACTTGAGTCACACAGGGGAACTCAGAGACAAAGTAAGCAGGAACATAATTGGTTATCTCCAAAAACTCTCAAAAACCTCAAAAATTCACCTTCAATGGATACCCTCACACGTTGGCATTGACGGCAATGAAGCTGCTGATGTGCTAGCGAAAAAAGGCACAAAAGAACCCTTGCCACAGAAAAATAAACTTACTTTTAAAGAAATAGAAACAATAGCCAAAACAAAAATAAACAAGAACTGGAGGATCCCACCTAAGCACAGTTGGTACAGTGGAGTGAACCCAGGAGGAGCTCTGAACATCAGAAATAGACAGCATCAAACAACACTAACAAGATTTAGAACAGGCCATCTCAAGCCATTGAAGATAGAAAATAATAACAAAATTTATCCCACTTGCCCAAAATGTAGTTTGGTACCTGCAGCTCCAGAACACATTTTGGCTTGCATTAGATGCACTAAACAGGACCTTTGGGAGAGGCCGCTGCTCATCATAAAACAGCTCGAGGAGCATGAACTCATGGAATTCGTGTAATCTTTACACAAGGGGATAAGAAACAACAACAACAACATATGAGCCAATATCTGTCGCGCGGTGTGAGGTCTTGCATTGTCCTGATGAAATTTGATTTGACAGTCTTTTTGTTAAAATGGCTCTTTTTAGCTTTTCTAATGATTTACAATATCTTTCCTTGATGATGGAAGTATTCTTGGAATGCATGTCCATGAATATGAGCCCATCTTGGTCCCTAAAGATCGTGATCATGATGTCTTTGGAAAGCCTTGGTTTTTTCCTGACTGGAGATATTTTATGGGTCCATTGCATTGATTGACGCTTTGAAGAAGGGTCATAATGATAAAATCAAGTCTCATCACACGTTATGACTCTTTTATAAGCCTCAGAAGCTCTTCATGGGTAAGATTCGATGAGGTCTAAACAAATTTATTTCCGAGTTTGCATCATTTCTCATGTTAGAAGCTTTGGCCCCCATTTTGAGCACAATTTTTGATAGCCAAGATCTGAAAGTAGTTTAAGAACAGTTCCTTTAAAGATTGAAAGTTTTTTCATCAATTTATATGTCGTTATTGTCCAGTTATCCTTGATCATTTCCTCAACAAGAGCCAAATTTTGGTCTGTTGTGACAGTTGAAGGTTTACCTGGCATCTCTTTGTCATGAATATCAAAATCACCTTTCTGTAAATGCTGAACCCATCTCTGTATAGTGCTTCTATCCAATGTTTGGTTTCCATTTACTGGCTGAAGTTTTGAGTCAATTGTTGTGGGTGAAATGTCACCGGACTTAAAGAGGAACTCAGTCACTGACCGTTGTCGGATTCTTGTGTTCACATTAAGCTCCATATCTGAAGAAATACAAAAGATAAATCAATTCTGATTGCAGATATGAAAAGCAGAGTGTTCTATTTACCAGAAAACATGTATTTTATTATAATAAATTGTTTATATATTTTGCTAGGGGTGATTGTGCATTACATATTGACCCAACCTTGTATTTGCATCGAGCAATGCTCTTCCGCAAACAATAAGTACGAGGACAGTTATGAATAATACTGTATTTTGATGGAGGATGGTTTTCTTTATAAAAAAAGTTGATCTCTCATTATATGCATTTGCATATGCATTCTCTCTTTTATATCAATACAGAATTAATGTACATATGTACATATTAACAGCATATCCTAAGTAAATATAGAAAGGTATAATGTAGATTTTATACCTTCTTTACTCAATAATCTGTGCAGTTTATGCAGAAAGAACTAGTTGAGAAAATCTTCTTTCTTATCTAAGACTTGACAACCATCATGATTGGGTGAAGTAAAATACATCTGCCTTTGTCATTAAGACTGGAAGTACTACTCAATGGCAGGCCGACTTAGCTCCAAAAGAAATGGCCACCTCTGACATGAGGAACAGACACCATATGCAGCTGCTCCTAACATGGAGTACAAACGCTGCTCATCCTGTATTCCTGGATTAGGAGCCTTTACAGGGTATTATCAGCCGGGCCAACTGAGCCCAGGTTTTTTTAGTGAGCTTGTTACTGCTCCCCCTCCTCCTTTTTCATCTGGGCTTGGGACCGGCAAAGGCAGAGTTTGTTGAGTAAATGAACATTGAGAGTGGTGTGATTTTATTTAAAACAGTATCCGCAAGTACTACACAGAGTTTCCTTAGATGAAAAAAAAAATCATTTTGTGCTGTTCCAAAATTTTGGAAATATTAAATTTCTGAAATGTTCTTAAGTATCTTTTAATCAGGTATGGAAAGAATTCATGGATAAAAATTGACCTTTAAAATTGCTTAGTAAAATATTTTTCCTCAAATTGAAAAAAAAAAAAAAAAAAAGCCAATGAATTTTAAGGTGTTTTTGCCTTTTTAAAAAAAATAATTCCTCTTTTTCAAAACTTAAAAGAATCAATGAAGCAAAAAATATTTGTAACAGCAAATTCACCATAAGTAATCTAATGACGGAAAATAAAAAATGCGATCAGAAAAAGCTAGTGACATAGAGTCAGTGACAGAGTCATAATGACACATGCATTCCTTCTCTCAGGCACAAAAAAGTCAAAAGACCATTGAAAATTTTGTATTACAAAGGAAAATTTCATTATTGACAGGAAAGTCCATATCAATCTTCTTCTTTCTTATCTCTCATGACTGGGTGAAGTAGAATGTGTCTGCCTTTGTCATTAAGACTGGGAGCACTACTCAGTGGCAGGCCGACTTAGCTCCAAAAGAAATGGCCGTCTCTGACATGAGGAACAGACGCCATGGTGCAGCTGCTCTTAAAATGGAGTACAAACGCTGCTCATCCTGTTTCCCTGGATTAGGAGCCCTTACAGGGTACTATCAGCTGGGCCAGCTGAGCCCAGGTTTTTTTTAGTGAGCTTGTTACTGCTCCCCCTCCTCCTTTTTCTTCCAGGCTTGGGACCGGCAGAGCTCGTCTGGTATTTGAACCTGGGACCTCTCGCACCCAAAGCAAAAATCATACCCCTAGACCAACGAGCTACTCAATTGTCAATTTAATCATTAAGTATTTTCTCACTTTCACAATTAAGAAAAAAAGAACATGCACTTGATCCAAGACACATTGATGAAAGGTTCCATCAATATAATTGCAGAAAATCATTGCTTTAAAGCTTTAAAAGCTTGATACCTTAATATGATTGAGTGGAGATAAGAAAGAAGAAGACTCTAGGTCTCATCATCTGACACAATCTAGTCCAAAAACGTGATGCCTTCAAGCTAGTACTGCTACAAATGCTGTTCAAAAACATATTCTGACTTGCTTTTTCTCTTCTGTAAGAATTTTTGAAATCCATTTGGAGCATTTCTTCTTTAGCCCCAGAGGCTTGGTAACATTAACCAGAGCCACTTGAAGACAAATGGAAAGGCCTGAAGGAATTTCTAGCATGATCTGATGTTGATCTTGTTTGATGTAAAAAACTCCGCCTTTGCTGGTCCCAAGCCCAGATGAAAAAGGAGGAGGGGGAGCAGTAACAAGCTCACTAAAAAACCTGGGTTCAGCTGACCCAGCTGATAGTACCCTGTAAGGGCTCCTAATCCAGGGATACAGGATGAGCAGCGTTTGTACTCCATGTTAGGAGCGGCTGCACATGGTGTCTGTTCCTCATGTCAGAGGTGGCCATTTCTTTTGGAGCTAAGTCGGCCTGCTACTGAGTAGTGCTCCCAGTCTTGATGACAAAGGCATTCTACTTCACCCAGTGTGGAGATAAGAAAGAAGAGAAGAAGAAGAAGAAGATTAGTCCATTTGCCAGTGTCACAACGTTATTTGTTAAACTGGTGTTGTGTTTGCTGTTGTTTCTTATCCCCTTGTGTAAAGATTACCCGAATTCCATGAGTTAATGCTCCTTGAGCTGTTTTATGATAAACAGCGGCCTCTCCCAAAGGTCCTGTTTAATGCATCTAATGCAAGCCAAAATGTGTTCTGGAGCTGTAGGTGCCAAGCTACATTTTGGATAAGTGGGGTTGATTTTGTTATTATTTTCAATCTTCAATGGCTTGATATGTCCTGTTCTAAATCTTGTTGTGAGTGTTTATAACAAAGGTAGCCTGCAAGTGACAAGATCACAAGATGTAATGGCTAGCATTCGAGTTTTATGATACCTGAGACTATTTTGTGCAATTTTTTGTAATAGGACCAACTATTGTGTTAGCAGATGGTTCACTAATTCCTTAATTTCCATGGGAAATTTGTCAATCATAGCTGTAGTCCTCTAGTGGGTTGAACTTTTAATTATTAAAGTATATATAATGTAATCTTAAATAAGATCAAATTAAGGATACAAGGTAATAAGACCAAATCTAAATAATTTAATAGTGTTTGACGTTTTGGTAACAGCATTTTTACCATCATCAGACAAAAGAATAAATGAAAAAAAAATCACAGCAAGTTCTTCTTCTTCTTCTTCTTTCTTATCTCCACTCAATCATATTAGGGTATCAAGCTTAACAACCATCATGATTGGGTGAAGTAGAATGCGTCTGCTTTTGTCATTAAGACTGGGAGCACTACTCAGTGGCAGGCCGACTTAGCTCCAAAAGAAATGGCCGCCTCTGACATGAGGAACAGACGCCATGTGCAGCTGCTCTTAACATGGAGTACAGACACTGCTCATCCTTTATCCCTGGATTAGGAGCCCTCACAGGGTACTATCAGCCGGGCCAGCTGAGCCCAGGTTTTTTAGTGAGCTTGTTACTGCTCCCCCTCCTCCTTTTTCATCCGGGTTTGGGATCGGCAAAGGCGGAGTTACAAGTTCTTAAATAGTGCTGTTTACACACACTCTCTCTCTCTTATTTTATATATTTACTAGACGGGTGATCCGGGCTTCGCCCCGGGATTGACCCATGTGCATATCTACCCGAGTGATATTATATATTTAGATAAGATTTTTTTTAATAATTGTTTGTTATTAGCACATTGTCTATTTGTTTGCATCAGCATAATTTAGTCTAATCTTTGATAGAGGGCGCTGTTCGTGAGCTAAGTAGAATAATTTGAATATATAGTTTTAATAATTGATTTATATATTTTTTTAAAATAGCCTATCGTCTTCCCCGTATTTTTTTTACCTATGTATGGAAATTTTGGTTTGAATTAGTGATCTACTGCGAATTTGTATACCGGACATACAAACATACAAACATTGATTTTTATATATATAGATATCTATTTATTCATATATTTATCATTATACAATCTTGATAAGGCACAATTTGGATTATAGATTATAAACACAAGGTAATAAGACCAAATAAATAAATAGTGTGTGACGTTTCGGTAACAGCATTGTTACACGCTGCTACATTGAATGCAGTACTTTTGTCTGAAGATGGTAACAACGCTGTAACCTAAACGTCACACACTATTTATTTATTTGGTCTTATTACCTTGTGATTATATAATCACTAGCCGAATGACCCGGGCAACGCCCGTGTTTTACCCGATTGACTGTTTTGATTCAAATACTATTTGTTACAATTATAAATTGGCGCCTTAAATAAATGCATATATTAGTTAATAACTATAGCCTATGTGCTTTATCTGTCTATGTACTGTTGGCTTCCGTAGGCGTCTCTTACTGGGAAAAAGAAAGAGAGGATTCCATTTAGTTATTAACTAATATATGCATTTGTTTAAGGAGCGACCCGCTCCAACACAATAGTTACAAAAATCAAAAAGCGAGTGGGGGGGCAAAGTCAAAAACAAAGTGTCTCGCGTAGTGGCGGCGCCATCGTAGCCACGTGATCGTAGCCAACCAATAGGAGAGCACCATTCCAGAAAAAAAGCAAACGGTGACAGAGATGATGACGCTCGTAACTGTATATAGAATATTATTCATATTTATATTTATTCTGTATTTAACCTTATATAATCTTATATGGACATTGTAATAAATCAGTTTCAATCTCAATCTCTCTTGATCACAGTAACTATTTAAGAACTTGCTGTGATATTTTTTATCATTTATTCTTTTGTCTGATGATGATGACAATACTGTTACCGAAAGTCACACACTATTAAATTATTTGGATTAGGTCTTATTACCTTGTAGCTATAATCTATAATTATAAAAATAAAAATACACAACCTTTCGCATTGAGTTTCTTTTATTTATTATTATTACAATGTCCAGATAAGATTATATAAGGTTAAATACAGAATAAATATAAATATGAATAATATGATTATATAATCACAAGGTAATAAGACCAAATAAATAAATAGTGTGTGACGTTTAGGTTACAGCGTTGTTACCATCTTCAGACAAAAGTACTGCATTCAATGTAGCAGCGTGTAACAATGCTGTCACTATTTATTTATTTGGTATTATTACCTTGTGTTTATAATCTATAATCCAAATTGTGCTTCATCATCAAATCAAGGGAAACATTTTGTATTCTTGATGCACTGCATGTTGAAATAATTTGGTATTGTTCCAAGATTCCATTGAAAGTATATTTAGATTTTTAAAAGAGCAATATCTTCTATATATATAAAAATGAATGTTTGTCTGTTTGTCTGTTGGTTTGTATGACCTGTATACAAATTCCTCAGTAGTTCACTAATTCAAACCAAAATTTCCATACATAGGTAAAAAATAACGGGGATAACGATAGGCTATTTTAAAAAATATATAAATCAATTATTAAAACTATATATTCAAATTATCCAACTTAGCTCACGAGCAGCGCCCTCTAGAATCTCAGGCGATCTGATGGCGGCGCGCGCCCGTTGGCTGCCGGCAGGTCCTTGAGCGTTCTAGACGAGAAGCAATGCAAGTCCTTAACTATATTTACAGGTTTTCTAATTTATAACTATTTCACATATTTACATATATATTTTCATTTTTTGCTATAACTGGTCTAATTCGCCGTTTAAAATAACCGCTCTTGCTATATTTGCTATGTTTAATGTGTTTGAATAGTACATTTAATCGTGTAAACCCGGGCGTTGCCCGGGTCATTCGTCTAGTACACAATAAAGGTTCTCACAATCTAAAATCTCTAATTGAAAAATTGTAGGTTTTTATATATTCTATTAACATGTTGCATAAAAATAAAGCGTAAGAACTTGGTCTACAAAGCAATTTTTAAAAATCAAGGTAATAAGACCAAATCCAAATAAATAGCGTATGACGTTTCGGTAACAGCGTTGTTACCATCTTCAGACAAAAGTACTGAATGTCATTACTTTGTCACTACAACATTACAATATCAGTACTTTTGTCTCAAGATGGTAACAACGCTGTTACCAAAACACACACTATTTATTTATTTGGATTTGGTATTATTACCTTGTGTTTATAATTTATAATCCAAATTGTGTATTATCATTAATTTTTAAAATTAAAAAAGGCATATCCTGACCACGTTCACATGAACTTTTGATGGCAGAGCGCCATCTAGTGGAACAGAAATAAACTAAACATTGATTTAGCCTGTTCCTAGATATTTGGCCTAACCATTTTCTTGATAAATCAAGAAACCACGAACGCGTTTAGGACTGTTGGCCCTTGTCAGAGTGGTGCAGACTGTACCTCTATGACCAAAAAAAATATTTTTTTTTACGTGAAAAAAAAAAAGAGCAGCTGCCATTGGGGACATTTACCAGCGAGTGCAAGTAACCAAACGGGGTTCTGGCACATTTGTAAGTGCAAAGTCGAACTGCTTTTCACATGTGGCGCACTTACAGTAAAAAGCAGTCCTCAAACTCTACCCACCATGATTATCATGGCCTGTACCAGGTGTACTAGGGCAAAAAAAAAAAAATTGAAAGAATTCTCCATTAATTTGTATTTTAAAATAAAGACCTTCTATGTTTAACTTTGTTATAATTGTAAAACGACATTTGAAAAGTTTTACCACAAATGTTTCTTTTGAACGAAAAATCATAATTTATTTTAAGGAGAAATAACGACTATTTCTACCCCCCTTGGGGTTGAAGCATGAAAGGATGAATTGTGAAGAGTAATGATTAACGGAAA